TATTTTGTGGGATTCGATAGTTTTATTTTTACTTTTGGTGCACGTATCACAATAAAAATATATTATATTATGCTGAAATATATTATATAAAATAATATGACGTGCGTGTGGTCGATTAGAAAGATCATCAGTCATCGTTGTATCAGCGGACGTGTGTTAATATTATTATTTTTTATTTGCTCAGGGTGCTCAAAAAAAAAAACAAGGGGCAGCAGCTGATTCGCGACGCAGGGTGGAGGTGAATGCACAACGTTTCGGTCACGGTGTTTCCGCGCGCCGAGATCGTCACGGAAAAAACCATTAAGAAGATCCGCCGCCACCGCCGACCGTGAACGGTTGTGTCCGAATGTTTTGTTCTTGTGAAGGCGTAAACATTGGAAAAAAATCTTGAAAAACTAATTCACATGTTTCACAAATACTTCCTGAAAAATATTTCGATGGTTATAGGTCATGTATCTTTATTTATTATTATAAAGGTATTGTACTAAAGTATTTTACGTTCGTTTGGTGTTTTTATATAAAAAAAAAATAAAAATCTTTTGTAAATGTCCACAATATAGTTCGATTGTGGTATTTTTATTTTACAAAAAAAAAAATCACCATTTAAATCGAAAAGTCTCAAAAACTGACCTAAACCTATTAAAATATTGTTCCAGTTCAACTGTGTGACTTAACCCTCGATTATGTGTGGAGGAGTGCTATTGTTACTACAGGTAGCTGGTATAGACACTTAACCTATATTTTAAAAAAAAAATAACAATTAAGTTTTCTAGACAGACTTTTGAGGGATGCTCGTGAGCACTCAAGATTAAATAGTAGGAATTTATAACTAATGTATTATACATAGATATTGATTTTTAATTCATGTTGTACCCGATAGTTAATTGATTTTACTTTTCTGGAATATGATAAATTGATAACGTATACTACTCGAATAACAAAAGAATCACTTAAATACTACACGATTGCTTATTAAATAGAATTAAATTATAAATAAATAACCATTTTAAAAATAGTTATGAAATTATATGTTTTTTTTTGTCGGCTTGTAATACTGAAATTTAAAATAAACTTTTTCCTTGGAACAAAGCCAATTGAAGATAAATCATCAAAACATTTTTGTGAATATTATATTTATTATGCAGGTATTTTAATTGAATTTTGAATGTGTTTTAAACATGATTTAATGAGATTGAGCCATTTCTTATGATGGATACTTCTCAAGAATTGATCAAATTTGTGTCACTATTGTTTTTTCTTAAATTTCCATTAATTTTGAACATAATATTATATATTATAATTTATAATATACTATATTTTATAGTAATTGGTGTGATGTTTCTGTGTAAGCGCTACTATAAACAGCTGTTCTAAGCTCTCATCTAGAGTCTGGACCATATTATTTGTGGTTTTGTAAATGCTTTTTTTTTTTGGTTTTCTATACTTGAAGAATTTGTTCAATTTGGACTGAATAGCTTCACCTCACAACAATAAAATACATTTTACGGAATCGTGTTATCAATGAAGTACCTGCACCGTTAGCGCCGTAGGCACTCGACAGTCTTCTGCCCTTCGATTCATATTTTTTCTATTCGTAGCGATAGCTCAAATAAGGGATGGAAATTATTTTTTGAAAAAAATATGTTCTGATACACGACGATTACCTACCTAATTCACATTTTTTTTATTTCGGAAACATGTCTTCCTATCTTAAAAATAATAATACATTCGTGTCCAATACAAGTCACTGAAACAACACTCGGCCGGTGAGTGGCTATGCTCCCGTGTCTGGGCAATGCAGAAATATTAGATATATACAAACGGATTGTTCAGTAATTGTCCGTTCGTGAAAGCGAAATTTACCTTCGAGGCTTTACGGGTAACCACTATGTACAGCTACTACAACTATATTACTACTATACATGTGAGTAGGTAGGTATACTCATCGGCCACAAATCATATAGTTTTCCCACACAGTGCCAGTTAATTCACGATGTTTTGCAAAACTCATATCGTAAATGTGTTTTTAATGTCCATCTGCAGATTAGGTGTATATCGCCGCCGCCGTTCTCCATCTCGTATTTTATTTCTACGCCGCCGCTTCGCGCATCGTCATCATGGTGCAACGATGACGTCGCAATAATCGGCCATCGCTCTGTGACCCACATATATTATTAATATTATATTATTATATTATTAAATACGAGAATATACGAATACAAAATATATCAGCGGTGGTATTTTAGCAAACGGCGAGTAATGGTTAATTTATTGAAGGATATAATAATATTAAATCGACGTGTGCGTGAGTACCTACTACCTACTATACCTACTACGATTTGTATTTAATCTACATAGCTATATATATCTGGGCCTTAGGTCAAAAAGGGTCAATCTCACTTTTTGGCGAAAATGAGTTATATGGCTAATCTTATAAAACTTTATACTCTTTTTCTAGTGGTCAAAGGGCGTATCTCAATAATCATTAGTTCGAGATATGCACTAGTGACAGTAAATATAAGACTGCCGAGACTACTGCATGTTCATATTGTATGAACAAGAAAAACTGATTACTTAATAAATATTAATAATATAATTATTTGGTGTAGAATCTACATATTATATATATAAAAAAAAATAATAATCCAATAATATTGTAATAATGCACTCATGTTACTTATTAACGTATGTTATGTGTTAAAGCTGCCCCGGACCCCCAGTTGGCCGAGGACCACAGGTTAAGAACTGCTGCCCTATTTATATAAGACTTTTAAAAACGAGCTATTATTGTGGTAAACCAAATATTTTATTGCAAAGGTTTTTTACTCATTTTACATGATCGGTTTCACTAAACACGTCAGTAGTTTTCAGGCGGATTAGGTACATCAGGGTAAGATATTTATTGGGTTTCATACACACTTTCATAATATAATAAAAGCCTCTACGACGGCCGTCATTGATAATTAACTGTATACTTAGATACCTACGTATAATAATATGCGTTTATATATTAATTGGATTTGGATAATTCTATTAAAATCTAGTTAATATAGTTGTGCGTTTTCGTCGCTTATATTATATATATACAGGGAAACTTTAATAAATCGAACACGTCTTTAAGTCGAGTTTTCGATAACTCGAAGCAATCTCATGGCCCTTGCATTTCAATATGGTTCAATATGGTAGGTTAATTTTAGAAAGCGTGAATTTTGGTTTAGTCCCTGACCGATTCGATAGTTATCGAGGTTTCACTGTATATGACTATAAATAGGTCTTATATAATAATTAGGCAGGGTTGTGAACTCGGAGGGACAGAAGAAAAAATATGTGCAGGGTTAGGTTCGGTCGGAGCAATAAACGGAGCGTTTACATATATTATAGTGTTTAAGAGGACGCTACCCATATGCATTTGTTGTCTCCGTTTTAATATACACGTTTATATTTTGGTACAAAATACCAATTTCGTTCACTAGTTTCAATAGCTTGCTGTTAGTTTTGATATTAGGGTGAATTAACCTACAACCAAACTTTTAGGTAAAAGGTTTAAGTGTCAGTTATTTTTTCAATATTTTAATTTTCAAGCGAGATATGAACATTTTTACTTTGTCATATTTCACCTACCCGTTTTTCGCTTGAAAATTAAAATATTGAACAAATCGCCGACGCTTAGGCGATAATGACGATAATGACTTCATAATGTTCTTACCTAAACGTTTGACTATAGGTTGATTCAGCCTAATATAAAAACCACAGCACACTATTGAAACTAGTGGAAATTTCCTGTCGTACGTCTGTAAACGTCTGAAACATCAAGTGCACAGGTAGTGTCGTCTCAAGACCGCTATATAATATAATAGAGTATTATAAAATCGCAATTCATATTAATATTTTCTTTGAAAAAAAAAAAACTACCATGATTATAAATATTAGCATTATTATTATACCTACCTTTACGTCCGGTATATACCGCAATCAGGACGTCAGCACGAGACTGCATGGACACAAAACCCTCTGCTTACCTGAAAAATATATCGACGTGTGCACAACGGTGACGAGGCAGCTGCGCGTTTAAATGGTCGGGCGCAGCAGGAGAGCAACCCCCGCGTACGTGCCCGACGAACGAAAGACTCCTCGAGTGTACAATATTATATATTTATATATTATATTATATGGGCATATGCCATTGTAACACACACCGACACATATATATATTGTGTGTTATACAGGGGTTTCGATCAGCGAAATGCGTATGCGTATTGCAGCATCTTATCTCCATACTTTTATACGTCCCATTATAATTATTATAATTTGTACCATTTTATTTTTTATTTTGCTCATTAGTTTATCGGTAATTTTCCAGAACCTCGTTACCTGTAGGATTATAATAATATGTTGACTGTTATTGAAACGAAATAAAAAATAATATAAGTACCTACTTATTATTAATATTTAATTATATATTATATTATATTTCAAATCATACAACACACGGAAAAATATATTATGTAGACACACAATAACATATTATTATAATATGATGTTACCTATATATATTATATACTTAAAATTATTATATTAACGTACGATATACTATAATTTTGATTAGAATTTTAAATTTAAGAAAAAAAAAATATTAATACTTAATAATAATGATAAAGAATGATTCACATATTTTCACGTGTTAGGCGAGATTAGGACCGAGTATATTATGTGTAGTAGCTGCAGCGTCATCCGGTGGCAGTTTGTGGGTGGTCTGATCCGAAAGGGAGCTTAATTCGTATTCATCATGATAATATGTTATAGTAATATTGTCATGATTGGCCCTACAAGACGACTGTTATCAGCTTGACAGCACCTTTTTGTGAATTGACTAGAATTGTATCACCTTGCAGCAGTCGAACGATATTATGCAAGAACGAATAATATAATATTATAATATATAGGTCGAACTGCATATTATAGTATTATTATACTCGTGTTGAAGAATACAGTGACCACCGTCAATAACCATGTGCAGCCTGCAGCTGTGGAGGACAGTAGTCCTGTACCTGTGAACACAAATATGTACCCATTAATATATTAAAATGTGAACGACTCCGAGGCGCATATTGTACCTGTATAATATGTACGTATATTACGTATTAAATTAAATTAAAATTAAGCGTGTCCCACCCCGTTAAGATGAGTAGGAAATACAATACGATGTCGAGACTTATATTTTTTTATGAGCCCTCCAGTCGATGGCACGAGGGTTGTGTAGGGACAACCCATGTAGTAATAATGATGCAAACGTTTTTGGTCAGAATTTACAAACCTAGAATATTTAGGTAGGTGACACACGATCGACCGAATTTAATAATTACCTATTTAGATTATAAAATCACGACACGTGCTGTCGCTGCCGTGAAAATATATTATATACAAATCCGTGGCTATTCACATTAGAATGGTCTTTGATGTAAAGCTTAAACGTTAATCTACTTCATCGAATAGTCTGATAAACTAATTGTGTATTAATGTAAGAACGTAATTCGTTCGACACCGAGTAATGGAAATTAATAACATTATATTATATAAGTACAAACAGTATTGTTTTTAATAACATTAATTACTTGTGAATTCAATGGATAGTGGTGGTGATTCGTCGACAGTCTTTGAAAATGGCTTGAATCGAGCTGAAAAATTAATCGCTTATAATTAATAAAATTGGTTTTTAAAATACATACAGGTACCTAATATGAAAACACATTTTCAACTTAAGGGTCTTCAAAAATATTCTTATGAAGAAAAATTACTATATAAGTTACTCAGCTCTATACTAAATAATAATTAATTACACAATATTTATTTAATATAAGCGGGTCGAAATGAGAGATTACTGCGAGCACATAGGTTTATTTTAATTTATTCTTCAAGAAGATATAATGGGCTCCACAGAACATGTTCGCATTACGTCATTATTGCGATTGACCATGTCGTATGTGTCATTCTAGACGCTATATTATAGTTTTGAGTGATATCTTACGAGCAAATTAATAAGTTTATTTGTATTTTCGGGGACATGGCGACCGAGCGCGTTTATCTAAGCCTTATGTACATTTGAATGAGCTCACAAGTTATAATACAACTACCTACGCATACATTGGAAGATAAAATTCTATAATATTGCGAACAAATTAATATTATATTATATTGTAATAAAGGTACTCACGTCACCGTACAAGTCTTGATGGAAGTCGACTGGAGCAGACCAACACTGTTGTTTCGCCACACGTTGGTCGTAAGGGTTCGTAGTTGCGGTTAGCAAATCGTATCCACCATAAACGGCGTAACCACCACCATCGTCCGGTCGGTGTTTGGTCACTGCGGGGTGGTAACCACCGGCGAAAACGTCGTCGTCCCTCGGGTCATCGGCTGGCTCGACGGCGTTGTTGCAGTAGTCTTCGGCGTAACCGGCAGCCAATGCCGCCGGCGGACAGCACTCGCCCTGCACCCGAGGCTGCTGCACATGCCGTTCGACGACGATCCGAGGGGCTTCCTTGTGGCATTTCTTCTCCTTCATCCGCCTATTTTGGAACCATATTTTTATCTGCCGCTCGGTCAGGCTCAGCTCGGCCGACATCTGCTGTCTCTTGTTCCGCACTATGTACCTGGAAGTCTGGAACACCGTCTCCAGCACAGCAGTCTGGTATTTGGAGTAAGTCTGCCTGGACCTTTTGCCGGCACCTGGAAAAGCGCAGCGCAAACCCCGAGATATGAAAATCGATGATAACGAGCTGTTTGTATATATTATAATAAGCGAGACGGGTTTTAAAGTCTACCGAATGTGATTTTTTTTCTCAAAAGTCTTATTGACATGTACATTAATAGTGTGGCGTCTCCCATTACGTTGTGTACAATCTAAATTGTATTGACTATAGGTAGTATATCATAGTATTATATTCTCAACTTACCTTTGACTTCGTGCAGATGAGTTTCTTCTACGACAAACTGCTGCTGCTGCTGCTGCTGTTGCTGTTGCCGCTGCTGCTGCTGCGGATGCCAGTCGTACGCGGACATGGTTGTCGGTCGTGTGTTCGGGTGTGCCGGGTCGGGTTCCGAAAACCGACTAACCTATAAATCAGTATACGCGAGCGATGGACCCTCCCGCGGCCGGGGACTGAGTCCGGCGAAAATTTAGGGAGATATATACGTCGACGGGGCGGAGGTGTAGGGGAGGGAAAAAAACACAATGAACTCGATAAACAGAATCCGTGTCTCGCCTTTTGTGTCACCGCCGGGGAGGTGCCACCCTCGGTCGGGCTGCGCGCGGTCTCCGCTCTACCCCTCCCCCCGTCGGCGGCCGGCTTTCAGACGCTCGCGACATATCGTCGACGCAAGGGGAGTGTGCGATTTTTGCGCCCAGCCTGGGTAAATATACACAGTGCACACCGTGGTGATGTACAGCAGCAGCAGTAGGGCATTGGGTGATTCACCTATATTGTATAGTATTATATTATGTGTACGTATACATTGTTTGAACGGCCATGTCGATATATCATAATATATAATATAATATGTGTGTGTGTGTGTGGCACGCGCTCATCCAAAATCCCTTTCCGACGGATTCAGCACGCACACTGCGACGATATATATTATATCGTTATTTTATTCGTTTATATGTTTGCACTTATTACAATAATAGTATTATTGTAGACAAAACTATATAGTGTGGTCCGTCTGTATAAATAGTATATTTTTCGATGTCGTCGACCATCGCATCAGCTGCCTTATTAAATGTTCGTCGCGTTGTACGGCCTATCTATATATAATATATTGTGTATCGTCATAATATGGGAGAATCTGTCGTCTGATATATATAATTATTATATTAATTCAATTACTGGAGTGTTGATTAGGTACATAAAATAATTTAAGAATATAATATAATATTGTCTCGAGCTCGTAAACGTTCAAACGGAATATAACAATAACTGCAGTACCGACATAAATCTTATTCGTTATCAAAGATTGAGCTCTACGATGTGAGTTATTTACAAAACACGCTTATATAAATCGATTCCTCTAACATATGTTTTTAATTAAGTGTTTTTCATCTAACTAAATAATTTTCTTGACCGTTGATATCGACAATATGAAAACTATTAAGTTTAAAATAAATAAACAAACATATTAAATAATAATGATGATTGATGAAAGTGCCTATAATAATAATAGTCTGATAAAAACAAATCGAATTTAATAATTATTATTCATATTAATTACTATAGATCGACATACATTATATTGGACCTTAAATGTATAGAATAACAGTAATAGATCGTGTCTCAGCTGTTCTATTAGTCATGTACTCATGTATGTTAAAAATGTGTTTATGCGTGTATAAGAGGTACTGACTACTGGGTTAGATATTTAGGTGCAGTTTAAAAATATTTATTTTTGTTTACTGTTTTATTTTATTTTTGAAAACATTTCCTGCCGACCTCTTAAAAATCAAAAGCCAACTGTTAATTAAAGGAAGAAAACAATTAGATAAGACCTTCAGACAACACAATATGTTATTATTATTATTATCACTATAATGAACTTTGAAATACTTATATCATAATAATTAACAGCTTAGGTTTGTGTCTGCGTAATTCAGAATAAATAATTGATTTCCTAGACCTCTATTTTTTACCTTTATTTGTTTACTCAGTTGATCTATCCTAACGATCATGCTGTAATCGGCGCAATCATTATCAGAGAGAATAATATATATAGAAGCTTAGACATCTAAAAAAGAGCACTTGTGCTTAAAACGATTGTACAACCATATATATTGTGTATCTGACCTACATGTAAGATCACGATAACATAAAAAAAAATACAATTGATTTATTCAACTATTATTTGTTATGAATTTACGATAAATAATTTATTTATGGTGACTCACCGCCGTGCCGATATTACCACCGTGTGTGGTATAATAAAAACATTTAACTATAACACATCGTAAACGATGCAATGACGATAACTTAATTCGCTTATAAATGTGTCATACTGTATTTAACGCGTTTAATAATTGTACTTGTCAGTAAATCTATGACTGGACGAAGAGGTCGACTAAAGAACAATTAATACCTGTGATGAGTTATTGAGCATAATATATTATAATAAGGTGTAAGTATAATATTATGATTTTACGTCACGTCATATTCACGTTCACCGCCATATTATACGAAAATCTAAAACGAAACTGAATTATCCACCTTGGATATAACTCCTTAGGATCCGTCACTGATTGTCTTGCAGCACACCTATACATAATATAATATATAACTATATTATACAACGTCCGTACCTATAAGTGGCTATAATGAACTTCCATTTAAAAACAATTTTTGTTTAATGAAATAATTTTGAGAAACAAATGTTTTTCATTATATTATGTAACGAATTTCTCTATAATATGAATTTTTTTTGTTGCCCAATGTTTTTACATAGACGTTTTTATATTATTTTAATATAATATTATATTGTACAGGGAAATTAATGATCGTCGGCCAGTGATCGTCATTTGGGGGGGGGTCAACTGGAGAATTTGCCCCAGTCTAGTATTTACATCAACCTTAAGTCGGCACATTTACCGTGTGTCACCTCTATGGCACTATGCTATGACAATCCGAGTGAAAACATTTTGAGTAGGAAAGCAGTGAAAAATTGCTCTAGTCCAACAAAAACTTAAATGACGCCACTGGCGTCGGCGATGTTTTAACTCCAAAGATTGCAGCGTTTGTTTTGTATAATATGTCAGGTCCGAGTGTATAAATTGTAGTATTTGCATTTTGCACACGTACAAAGCACAATATTTTACGTTTGTATTTTCGAATTGAAAAGAAAGATCGCGTCTAATCCACATAACGATTGTCCGATATTCGCATTTTGAAACCTTTCTTGAAATAATCTTCCATGAATGATATATGTTTTATCGGTATTCGGAAAAAAAAGCCCCGGAAAAAAAAGCCCCGGAAAAAAAAGCCCCAGAAAAAAAATACGGTAAAAAAAGCCCCGCCATAGGAAAAAAAAGCCCCGTACCTACGAAATACATATCACTTTTTTTATTATAGTCGACATTTTATAATTTTTAATTTTTAAACAATATACCTAGGTATCTATATTATATTATAATTGTAATAATAACCAATGTAAAACTTTTACTAAATATTTTACACTATATAGGTATAAATATACATTTGGAATATAAAAGATTAAAGCATATAGCAATAAAAGTAATTTACTGTCGTTTGACTTTATCTTATAAATGATGAAGGTATTATATTTTATTACAGACACTATCTAGCAACTTTTGTGGGTATCTTAGTATCTACAACATTTTATTGTTACAAATGTGGTTTTTTCGTTCATATAGTTATTGTTGTAATTATTTTCAATTAAAGGTGTATAGGTACTAGGTACCTATACCAGCTGTTAGGTATGATATTCTCTTCAGTACGTATTTTTCGTTCATCTGGTTATAATCGTATACAATTTTGGTTATTTTGAATTAAAAGTGCGAATATATAATGGAAGTGATTCAAAATAATAAAAATAATAAAAAACCTCAAATTACACACGGTGGATATTTGTACAACATTCAAAAAGAATGTAATACTATGATTCGTTGGAGATGTACTAAATCGAGTTCAATGAAGTGTCCCTGTATTTTAAAAACAGATTTAAATATAGATAGTCCAACTTTACTTTCCATTGAACACGATCACGTACACGAGGCGAATGAAAACATGGTATCTGCAGTAAAAATTCAAAAAATTATGAAGGCAAAAGCCAAAATTACTAACGACGCACCTAGTCAAATTTTTTCAAGTGCCATACTAAATGTTCCGGAGAGTGTATTAGCTGAATTGCCAAAGGAAGATTACTTGAAAAGATCTATTCGAAATCATAGAGGGTATACAAATCCACCAAAACCGAGATGTCTGTCAGAAATAATTGTTGAAGGTAAATTAAAATTTTTAAAACTATTTTTAAACCGCTTAATTCTTAAGCAAGATATATGAGTATTTTTGAATTTCAATATCTTACATACTCACATCTTGCTTAAAAATAAAAATATTGTAAAAGTTAACGTACAATGTTTAGAAATGAGAGCTCTAATATTATTATCACGAGTTAAAAACCTATAAAAAATGTACGAACAATTTTTTTGGATAAAATTCCTATCTCTGACAATGTTACGCACTTGTACATTATTAAAATAGAAATTGATTTTTAAAACATATAGGTACTTATTTCATTTAAAATTTAATAGGTGATTATAAAGAATATGGTCAAGAAAGATTTTTACTTCACGATAACGGCCCAAATACCTGCAGTGGAAGGATTATTATGTTTGCCACCAATATAGGATTGTCCTTACTAGCTGAATCGGATACATGGTATAGCGATGGAAACTTTGGCCTGGCTCCTGAATTTTTTAAACAATTATATGTGATACGTGTACAAAAAAAATCAGTGTTTGTTACAGCTGTTTATTGTATTCTTGAGCGAAAAACTCAAGTTACATACGAGGAAATGTTTGATATTTTAATAAATGAATGTAAAACTCGCGATATGTATCCAGCTCCAAGATACTTACACTTGGATTTTGAATTAGGTGTAATAAATGCCGCTAAAAATATTTTAGGAAACCACATTACTATACATGGGTGTTTTTATCATTTGTGTCAGTCGACTCATAGAAAATTACAAAAACTTGGTTTAGAAACCATTTACAAAGAAGAAAGTGAATTTAGAAAATATTGTGGTATGATCGATAGCTTAGCTTTTCTGCCCCTGGATAAAGTGCTAGATGGAATGACGTGCTTGAAAGAAAATATACCACCTCGTGCGGAAGACCTTTTGTTTTATTTTGATTTTTATTACGTAAATGGTACATATAGGCGAGTAGGAACTGCTTCGTCCTTGCGTTTGCGTAAAATACCCCCCATATTTCCACCGTCTACGTGGAATGTACACGAAATAACATTGAAAGGTGGACATCGCACCAACAATACCAC